ATGCTGACACCATGGCCCCCCTCCACGCCTTCACTGCCCTCTTTACAGGGAAAATCTACCCATTCTTCTGGGTCTGGACTGTAGGGACCTCCCTTAGACTGTGTCCCCCACAACCCTCCAATAACTGAGGGCACAGTCTAGAGGCTGCTGCCATTTCTAAGGACATCAATGGACATTGGACCACATTTTGTCTCACCCAGAGATTGAAGCATGAACACCGTGATGCGTCTGGATTTTAGCCCATGAGGCAGCATCTCCCTTAAATACCTCTGTACTGCCTGCCACGCTGCCCCTTGTGCATGGGAAATGCTCCCTAATAAAACCCAAGCAGCTGCTACCTTCTCCTCCCACAGGTCCCTCCTTAACTGTCACCTCTGCCATGATGCCTCCAGAGTTCCAGCCTCGTGATCAGGGCTAGACAAGTGATCTGCTCTGAATATGACTCTTCCTCATCTTTCCTATCCTGCTCTACCTTTACCTCCAATTGAAAAGAAATACACCCTGTGTCTGAGGTGGTCCAATTCTTCCCTGTACTGTGAGAGAAATGAGAATTCTGGTTTAGCATATGTGTTAATTGTTTTGTGTTAGAGGGAATTAATATAGATGTCAGTGCAGCTCTCTCCTTCTAGGTGTATAGGGTATAAACTGGTGATGAATACACTGAGGCTGGAAATTAGAAGGAGCTTTCTAATGTAGCCTTTTATTCTATTTAACATGAATTTTGTACAGCACCATGGGTTTGGCTCTGGCGGCTACAGTTTCAAGCTTAACGGTGTGAAAGTCATCTCTGCTACTTGCTTTAGAGTTAGAGTCTTTAGGAACACATAAAAATCAAGGGCAGTGACCACACAGACATTCACAAGGACAAGGTCTCGTCTGTTTTACAAGTTTTATTAAAGTTATGATTACCCAAGCATACAGAAATTCTATACAGACCCATGCACAAGTTACAAATACAGTTATACTCACATCCTCCTAGATAGTGTTAGGGTCTGTTGTCTCTCATGACTTGATCATTAGTAGAGGGATGGTTCCTGCTGGGGTTTACCATAGGGAACTCCATTTTTCTAATCTAGGCACCTGCTCTATAATTTGATTCTGACTATATCTCACTCTGCGCATGTCCATAAAAGTGTCAAGCCTCTTTTCTCTTATTGGTCTGCTGTCCCCTTGAAATTTAAGGGACCCCTATTTTCTATAGGCTGTGTAAGTTCCCTTTGTTCTCATTAGCATTGACACACAACCTGTATCCTGTGGTTAAGACACGTCAGAGACAGATGCGCCTTTACAGTATTGTTATGATCTAATATTAATCTTCTGGGTAATTTTTCGCAATATTACCACTTGGTACCTCTTTTCCCATAACCTTAGGGCATTGGGTTATTTCTCGGTCATTGGCTTATGTCATCATTTCTTGTCTTCAAGGCCCAAAATAGCTAAGCTGAAATCTTGCAGGCCTCAGCCTACAGGTTCTTGCATTTCAGCTTGTCTTACTTATGTCTAATACATAATTCTTTTAAATACTAATCAATCTTATACTTTTATAATCCTACAAATTAACTCTAATTAATATACAATGAATATATGTAATATAACACATTGATTAATGATAACATCACACAATAAATGAAAAATAAACTAAAATCATTGGCTACACTAACCATCAGCAGAGTGAGGTTCTGGATCAGCCTCCCAACAGGAATCATGGGGGCAAACAACCTATTTGAGGATGAATTGTGAAAAGTTCGTGAACAAGATAACATATGGGGTTGCCCGCAAATGCGATAGCATGGACCGGACTCCATCACCCAGGAGGTCCCTTCCAGTCCTGTGTTCCTAGGTGAAAAGAAACGAAGACAAAACATGAGCTTTAACACATTGGGTGCCTCCCTAATTTTCTTGCTTGAGGCAAGGATGTGACAGCCTATCACGGGATAATTTCCAGAGTGTTCAGACAATATGTGTATGGGTGAAAGCAGAGCTGCTGGGTAGGCCGCTAGCTGTTTTTAAGAAACTACTTAGGCCTATAATGGATGCTGATGCAAATGGGAGACCAGAAGTCCCTGTCTTCTCCTATTTTTATCTTTTGAGACAACATGGCATGTGGTTGCAAAGGCAGATTTTCCAGGGAACGGTCACCCCTGAGCATAGTGACCTCAGGTGCCCACCTCGATGAGGACTGGACCATGGTGACTGCATGCAGGGGGTATATGGACTTGATTGGTCCTGAAGGTGGTGCCATAAGGTGGAGTAAGTGAGAGTCACCTCCTAGACCCCTAAGACAAGGCGGGAGGCCTGTGTGCTTTCTTGGTCCACCAGCTATATCAGAAGGATGCAACCCTCTGATTTCCCTCGGCAGGCCTCGTAGGTGGTGAAGTTTCTGGTCTTTGGCTATGCCAGTCTGACCAGTCTGCTATTATCCAAGATCCCACTATGGGAGTCAAGCGTAACCAGGTTCTCCATAAGCTGCTTCCAGACACTGCAGTCACAGCCCTGCAAAGCGTGACACAAAGATCCCAAGACCAATGAAGCAGAAAACAGTCAAACCTTTTTCTAATCTTAGGTACCTGACTTTTCTTTTATTTATGGAAAGATGTTTCCATTGTCTTAACTTCCGCTGTGCGTGTGCGTGTTTGTATGCACCTATGAGTGTGTACATCTTTAAAGGTCCACACTGGGAAATGAGCCAGTATTGATTCCCTAAACCAGTGATTCTCAAACTTTAGCAACCCGAGGACCCCCATTGTGATTAAAAAAATTTCACAGACCCCCCCAAACCCTCTGCTCAGCCCCAGGCCCCACCCCACTCCTTCCTGTTTTTGCGAAATAACTCAGTAAACCTGCACTTCATAGGGGAGGACAAAAGTTTCTGTGTGTAAGCAGTGTCAGGATGAGCTCCACCCTGACATCTGGTGGTGAGGTGTGGCAAGTTGTGGAAAAGAACTTCAGGGGCCGATCTCATTTGCATAGGCACACCCACCCCGCCTAGAATGAGGCCATAGCTGCCCAAATGGTCACTTTGGCTGCTGTGGGATCCCCAGTGTTTCTGTTATTGGGGCAGGAAGAATAAATTGTTATTACCCTGATTATGGGAACTGTGCTTGGAACTGTACGTGGCCTTTTGTTATGATGGAGGGATTCACCATCAACTAAGTAGCACTCGCTAGGCAAGGGTCATGGGTTCCAAAACTGTGTGAATGGAGAGAGGCTGGGAACAAGTACTAATACTTGGTGGTATGGGCCCTACATGCTAAATGCACTTCTTCCTCTCTCCACTGTGGAATATCAGAGCTAATTTTGATTTCATTAGAAGTCTAGTTATAGGCTGCTGAGCTCATTTATGGGCTGACAGTGCACCAGCACTGGGGCTCCCCTACTACAAGCTGAATTCACCTAAGAGCTGAAATCACTGAGTGTTGTGTTAAGTAGTGGGGGAGCTGGAAGATATATTGTAGAGCAGTTGGCGGGCTGGCTGGAGTGCCTTGTGGACCGGCTGGTGGAGCAGTTTGTGGATGGCAGGAGCTGCTTGTGGGCCGTGGAGCTGAGCGAAGGAGTTCGTGGGGCGACTGGCGGAGCGGAGCGCAGCCGAGCGAAGGAGTTCGTGGGGCGGCTGGTGGAGCGGAGCGCAGCTGAGTGAAGGAGTTCGTGGGGCGGTCAGCTTCAGATCATGTAAGGTGCCTCTTACCCCGGTCCCATTTCCACCCAGGTTGGGGAGGTAAAGCTCCGCAGATAAACTTTCGAACTCTGGGGCGGCCCTGACCAGGGACAGAGACTTTTGGGGCATTGGACTTTTGGGACTTTGAGTGATTTGGGGTTGCTGGACTCAAGAACCAAAGGGAAAAGGGCATGCCCCAATTTGCTTGGGGTGGGTTTTTGCTCGTGGGTTTTGTTATGAATCCTGTTGGTGGTGTTTCCCAAACATAATGCCACATTGTTTCTCTCTGTTATTAAAAGGCTTTTGCTACACTCAGACTATGTGCTTGCGAGAGGGGAAGTATTGCCTCTTGGAGGCGCCCAGCGGGGGTGGTATATATTTGTCCCAGGTCACTGGGTGGGGGCTCGAGCCGGTTTGCATTGTGTTATTGGAATGGATCCCCTAGATATTGAACCCGGCCCTTGTTGCTGCCAACTCTGACGGGCAGAAGGGTTACATGTGGGTATGTCTACACTGCACTTAAACACACATGGCTAGCCTGTATCAGCTGCCTTGGGCTTGTGCTATGCGACTCTTTAATTACTGTAAAAAGGAGTACTTGTGGCACCTTAGAGACTAACAAAGGTGCCACAAGTACTCCTTTTCTTTTTGCGAATACAGACTAACACGGCTGCTACTCTGAAACCTTTAATTACTGTGTAGATGTTCGGGCTCAGGCTGGCAGGACTCTAGGACGTGGGAGGGTCCCAGCGCCAGGGCTCCAGCCCAAGCCCAAAAGTCTGCTCCACAATTAAACAGCTCTGTAGCCTGACCCCCACGATGTAGACATAAGGTCACTGTGATGGGGGAAAGAAAAAGGGATCATGGTTAAAGTTGCACCCTAGGCTACAACTCTGAAAGGGTGCCCCTGCATTGCCCACTATCCCCCTCCATCTCCTTATTGCTCACCCCTCCCCTTCTGCCCACGCGCAGAGGGAGAACCCCTCGCTGGGGCCCGATCCTGCTCCCCTCCAAGCCCTGTCGCTGCATTTCCTGCACCACAGCCTCTCCCCGCCACAAGCCCCTGGGGCAGGTCCCGGCTGGGCGTGGGGGTGAGAGCAGAGCGAGGCCACGTCCTTCACGGCCTCAGGCGCCACCACCCGGCCCCGCAGCAGGCGCACGCTGAGCCAAGGGGCTGAGCGCTCAGCCTGCAAGCGGCAGCCAGAGAGATCGATTCCGTCCGGCGCGAATCGCCGCCCGTTGCAGTGCGGGCGGGTGAACAGCTCGGCGCTCCCCTTGTCAGGCTTGGCCAGACCTCCCCCGCACGGACCTTCTGCCCCCGCTGGGGAGAGGCTCCCCCCCGCCCCCCCCGGGAGGCTGGGCGGGGCGCCCTTGCGCACAGAGCCGGGAGCTATTTCCGACCCGGCTCCTGCGCGGTGCCCGTCCTGGCTCAGACCCGCCCTGCCATCGCCTCCTGCTTTGTGAGCCGGGAGCCCTGAGCCGCTGCTGCGCCCCAGCGGGGTGTGTGCGGGGAGAGCCCTTCCCTAGCGCCCCTCGGGGCCAGCCTGCAGGTGAGGGGGGAGACCCGGGGATGGGCGCAAAGCGCTGCGAACTCTCCGGGTGACGGAGCTCCGGCTAAGGGCGCAGGGGATCAATCTCGGCTGCCTCTGCCCCAGGGCAGGGCTCTGGGCTGAGCCTGACCCACCGCACAGGGGCCGAGGGGGTGAATGTGGGTGAAGCCCTTTGAAAGTCCCCAGTGAGAAGAGCTAAGGAAAGGCGGGGGAGGGCTGGGTTAGTGGCTACCCGAAGAAAACAGGCACTCCCAAAAATTCGGAGGCAAAATGTGCACCCCCCGCCCCCAAATGTGGGAATCCCTTGCGAGGCTTTCCTGTGCACAGAGATGCCATTTGCACATTCAGCTGGGGGATGGGGGTGCATGGAAATAATAGTGGGAGCAAATTCCAAGGGTGATCCAGGACAACAGGGCAATTGAAATGGCTGAGGGTTTTCCCAGCAGGGCAGAGTCCAGCGTGTCTGTGAAATGAACTAAAGCCCCTTCTGAAACCACTCCCCAGCCCTTTGCCCTCTGACAGGCTGCAGAGTAACAGCCACCTTTTGCTCCAGATTGTCACATCACCCCAGGGGCCAGGGAAGGGAAATGGCTGCAGTGGACTCGGCTCAGGTAGTGGATTATCAGGGGGTTGTGTGGGTGGTAGGGGAGCTTTGCCTGAATGTGTGGTGGTAAGGGAAGGGGAGGGAGCAGGACATACAGAGGGGAGACCAGTAAATGAAATTCCTGCTGGAAGCCTTTAATGTCAGGAGATGGGCCTGAATATCACCAGCTTTTAAGCAATAAAATACCCCACACACACTTCAGTCGCCTGTCCCCACTCCCCTCCCCAGCATGCATCTCCTCGCTCTCCTTTCCCCCTCCCTCCCCCCACACACATATCCAGCATCCTTCTCAGTATGCTGCCTATGCCTTCACCAGTGTGCCTCTGAGGCACTCTTTACCTCAAGGTAGCACCCTGGCACCCCCATATTCACCGCTGTGATATGAGTAGGATATGTTTTGTACAAAGTATGCCTTGTAAGATATCATTTTAAAAGCCTTAATCTGTTGAACATTAATACCCTGTTGGAGTGTATGTGCTAGCATTGTATGTGAGGGATTGCCATATGTGTTACTGAAATATGTTGTGAGGTTGGGATCACCCATAATAGGCCTTTCAGTTACAACAAAGGAGTAGCCATCAATACCCAGGAGGTTAATCAGTCTTCAACACATGATTCCATAGCCCAGAGAAGGCACGTACGCCATAGTGGAAAACTAATCCACATTACAGCAAATATATTTCCAGCAAGCTGGAAGAAAGTATAAAAGAGAGGCAGTGACGACATCACTTGACTCCTTCCCCCCCATCCCCATCTCAACACCTGGAAGCATGGCTGAAAGACAAAGGCTTTGAACTGAGGAAGTTTGGCCCCAGGCTGGAAGGCTAGTCTCAGCCAATGTACTGAGGACCTGTAACCTGCTTTTACCATCTGTCAGAATGAGAAAAGCTGTTTGATACAACTCTTGCTTAGACTAAAAGTTTAGGATTTAGAATGCATGTTTACTTTTTATTTTCTTAAGTTAACTCTATCTGACCTTTATGCCTACTACTTACAACCTTTCTGTAGTTAATAGACTTATTTTAATGTTTTATCCTTACCAGTGTGTGTGTCTAAAATTCTTGGGAAATCTCAGATTACAAAAGCTGGTGCATTTCCACTTTCCTTTGATAAAGTGGCGAACTAGGTAATGAACTTACACTGACCAGGCTTCTGACCAGTGCAAGACAGTACAGTTGTTGTACTTAAAGTACTGCACAGGATCTTTTCAGGGGGAATAAGGCAAAACACCACATTTATTGGTAATACATGTATCAATCAACACTGTATCATTGCATGAGTGTAATATATATCGTATGCATCTCACATACACACACACACACACTCCGTCTTGTTGTCGTTACCAACTAGTTGCTCCCCTTAACTTCACTGGCCAGATGAGTTAGATGGGGGAGGGGTTGAGCCAGGCTTCTGTTGATCTGGATCGATGCTCAGATGTTGACAAGACAAAACCCAAGGTCCTCTGCAAGACACCTCACGTTTATAGCAGCTTCCCTCTCATGTAAATCTATATACCAGATTCAAAATCTGTATCTGTGTCCGTTAGTCCTTTGTGCTGCTTCCTTCTGGATGTTGTCCCAATGCTGTTCAAAGAGGGTGTTTTCAAAAGAAGTTGCTTGCTTCTAACCCCCAAAGCCACCAATATGTCTGCTCTTCTTTAGTGAGCCCACTTGACAAGTTTTATTGTTTTTGGGTCTGGCTTCCATCCCCTCTCCAACTGTTGCAGTTGTCTGGAGGTACTTGCCTTCCACGCCTTTACTCATTCACACCTCGTTCATACAACAGGGCAATTGATTAAAAGGGGTGTGTGGGGGGGAATCTTGTTCTACGCCTAGTAAAAAGACATTTTTTTAACATTATACCAAGGCTCAATACAAAGTTTTATATATAAGGATCTGTCAGGGTTCCTTCCCCACTCTGAAGTTTAGGGTACAGATGTGGGGACCCGCATGAAATGCCCCCATTCTAATTTCACAGGGGTGCTTCTTTTACCTTTTTTCTTTGTAATAAAGTTCTTTTTTTTTAAGAATCTGATCTTTTTAGTGTCCTAAAAAAACCAAAGCTGGTCTGTGCTCATCTTGTTTATTCTCAAGCCTCCCCAGGAAAGGGAGGTGTAAGGCTTGGGAGGATATTTTGGAGGAATAGGACTCCAAGTGGTCCTTTCCCTGATTCTTTGTTAAAACACTTGATGGTGGCAGCATTTACCTAATCCAAGGTACAAGGGAGAATTTGTCCCTTGGGGAAGTTTTAACCAAAGCTGATAGAAATAAGCTTAGGGGGTCTTTCATGCGGGTCCCCACATCTGTACCCTAAACTTCAGAGTGGGGAGGGAACCCTGACAGGATCTGATACAAAGTTTTATGAAAACAAAGGCATAATACAAAGTCATATGAAAGTTATGTAAAGATGCTCAATGCAGAGATTTATCTACACAGTCGGGAATGCAAGACTGCGGAGCTGGGGGGAATTGGCTGGAGTCTCTCTATTGATGGTTCATGAGTGGCTGGGAGATTGTTCATGCAACACAGTTGAGTATGTCCCTGCCTGTGGATGTCGGTGTAAGTGCAGTGCCTGTCAGATGTTTGTAGCTTGACATCGGTATCACAGAGTGAGAGGCGGTCCAGGTTGGTGGAACAGAGGGCTCATCAGTCGCACAGTCCAGCAAGTACTCTAGGGACCCTGTCACAGCCTCTCAAATTACATGTCCCCAGCTACTAGAGAAATTCTCCAGCCTCCATTTTATCTGCCTCACCACTATTTCAGAACAGATAATCATAGAATCATAGAATATCAGGGTTGGAAGGGACCTCAGGAGGTCATCTAGTCCAACCCCCTGCTCAAAGCAGAACCAATCCCCAATTAAATCATCCCAGCCAGGGCTTTGTCAAGCCTGACCTTAAAAACTTCTAAGGAAGGAGATTCTACCACCTCCCTAGGTAACGCATTCCAGTGTTTCACCATCCTCCTAGTGAAAAAGTTTTTCCTAATATCCAACCTAAACCTCCCCCAGTGCAACTTGAGACCATTACTCCTTGTCCTCCTTGTCCTCTTCTACCACTGAGAATAGTTTAGAACCATCCTTTCTGGAACCACTTCTCAGGTAGTTGAAAGCAGCTATCAAATCCCCCCTCATTCTTCTCTTCTGCAGACTAAATAATCCCAGTTCCCTCAGCCTCTCCTCATAAGTCATGTGTTCCAGACCCCTAATCATTTTTGTTGCCCTTTGCTGGACTCTCTCCAATTTATCCACATCCTTGTAGTGTGGGGCCCAAAACTGGACACAGTACTCCAGATGAGGCCTCACCAATGTCGAATAGAGGGGAACGATCACGTCCCTCGATCTGCTCGCTATGCCCCTACTTATACATCCCAAAATGCCACTGGCCTTCTTGGCAACAATGGCACACTGCTGACTCATCTCCAGCTTCTCGTCCACTGTCACCCCTAGGTCCTTTTCCGCAGAACTGCTGCGTAGCCATTCAGTCCCTAGTCTGTAGCGGTGCATTGGGTTCTTCCGTCCTAAGTGCAGGACCCTGCACTTATCCTTATTGAACCTCATCAGATTTCTTTTGGCCCAATCCTCCAATTTGTCTAGGTCCCTCTGTATCCTATCCCTGCCCTCCAGCGTATCTACCACTCCTCCCAGTTTAGTATCATCCACAAATTTGCTGAGAGTGCAATCCACACCGTCCTCCAGATCATTTATGAAGATATTGAACAAAACCGGCCCCAGGACCGACCCCTGGGGCACTTCACTTGACACCGGCTGCCAACTAGACATGGAGCCATTGATCACTACCCGTTGAGCCCGACAATCTAGCCAACTTTCTACCCACCTTATAGTGCATTCATCCAGCCCATACTTCTTTAACTTGCTGACAAGAATACTGTGGGAGACCGTGTCAAAAGCTTTGCTAAAGTCAAGAAATAATACATCCACTGCTTTCCCTTCATCCACAGAACCAGTAATCTCATCGTAGAAGGCGATTAGATTAGTCAGGCATGACCTTCCTTTGGTGAATCCATGCTGACTGTTCCTGATCACTTTTCTCTCATGTAAGTGCTTCAGGATTGATTCTTTGAGGACCTGCTCCATGATTTTTCCGGGGACTGAGGTGAGGCTGACTGGCCTGTAATTCCCAGGATCCTCCTTCTTCCCTTTTTTAAAGATTGGCACTACATTAGCCTTTTTCCAGTCATCCGGGACTTCCCCCGTTCGCCACGAGTTTTCAAAGATAATGGCCAATGGCTCTGCAATCACAGCCGCCAATTCTTTTAGCACTCTCAGATGCAACTCGTCCGGCTCCATGGACTTGTGCACGTCCAGCTTTTCTAAATAGTCCCGAACCACCTCTTTCTCCACAGAGGGCTGGCCATCTACACCCCATGCTGTGATGCCCAGCGCAGCAGTCTGGGAGCTGACCTTGTTAGTGAAGACAGAGGCAAAAAAAGCATTGAGTATATTAGCTTTTTTCACATCCTCTGTCACTAGGTTGCCTCCCTCATTCAGTAAGGGGCCCACACTTTCCTTGGCTTTCTTCTTGTTGCCAACATACCTGAAGAAACCCTTCTTGTTACTCTTGACATCTCTTGCTAGCTGCAGCTCCAGATGCGATTTGGCCCTCCTGATTTTATTCCTACATGCCCGAGCAATATCTTTATACTCTTCCCTGGTCATATGTCCAACCTTCCGCTTCTTGTAAGCTTTTTTTTTGTTTAAGATCTGCTAGGATTTCACCGTTAAGCCAAGCTGGTCGCCTGCCATATTTACTATTCTTTCGCCTCATTGGGATGGTTTGTCCCTGTAACCTCAACAGGGATTCCTTGAAATACAGCCAGCTCTCCTGGACTCCTTTCCCCTTCATGTTAGTCCCCCAGGGATCCTACCCATCCGTTCCCTAAGGGACAAGAGCTGCTCCACCCTATGCTGCCGACTTTAAGCATGCTCAGTACTGAGATAGGGTGAAAAATTCAGCTAATTGGCAAAAAGTCCATAATTTCTAAGAT